AAGGAGGGTTTATGAGCAGAAAGTGTAGGAGATGAATCAAAATTGCTCAAGGAGAGCAAAGACGGTCTTCTTGCAATAAGTAGTGACTGATAATCATCGAATAAACAATGACTGATAATCAATAAACAATGACTGACAGTCAACAAGTAATGTCTGATGATTATTCAAATGTGATTAAAAAACTGAGATTGTAATTAAATACATTCTTCCAAATTTTATTATATTGTACCTTACATATATATAAATTTAATAGGAAAATAAAGTTGCTCTTGGTGACTTTTTATTTTAAGAAGCATAATTGTTCTCCTGTGTCTTCTGGTTGGCTTCCTAATTATTTGTAGTATATAGCCATATTTACATGGTGATATGCACAATAATTTCAGAATTACTGCATTTTAAAATAACGAATCAGCCTCTATAGGATGACCTTGAACATCTATGCCTATAGAGTGATAGCAACCATCAGATCTTGGGAATAACAAGTACCCACTCAGATCAACAGAAAAGAATGTAGGCTTTTGGAAGAAGAGAGATGGGGGCTCACATCCCAGCTGCAGAGTAGCCAGCAGTGTCACCTGTACTCTCTCTGAGTTTTTTTTCCCTCCTGTATTAACTATAATTCCAGATAAGCTGTACTATTGTAGGAATTAGATATGGCATAGCAAAGTGCTCACACAGTGCCACACAGAGCTCCAGGGCCTCAGTGAAAGTCATTACTGTTATTATATAAAATGTGTCTCATGAGGCCTTCATATTTTTAGAAATAGGGATACCAGACTCATGGAGTGCCTTCAAACCCATTGGTCATGTGAATATAAAATCATAAAATAGCATTTTTGAAAGTGGTTTTCAGAAATTACTAAAAACTACAAAATTGCTGCTTAAACTAGAAAATACATTCAGTCTCACATAGGGTGATCACCTGGCCCAGGCTTGCCTCACACTGAGTGAGTTTACACATGGAGGACTTAGTCCTGAAACTGGGGCAGTCCCATGCCAGCCAAGCTGAGTTAGTCCCCCTCGCCCCACCTCACAGGTATCTGGACCTTCACTGCACCTGGGACTTCCAAAGTGCTGGCCTCAGATGAGCAACGGCAGCTTTAACTGGAAACTTGTTAGAAATGCTAATCTTTGGGTCCCAATCCAGACCTACTTAGTCAGAAGCTCTGGGGATGGGACCCCTCTGTCTGTTTTAGTAAATCCTCCAGGTGGTTTTGACACCTGCAACATACTAAGTAAGTGCTAGTCTTATGTCAGCTTTGCCAGACTAAAACATTTTATAGAGGAGAAAAGAACATTATACTAAGCTGTTTCAATTTCTTTAAAAGACACAAATCAGTGTTTCATAACGGATAGTCCCCATCATTCAAATCCCCCAAGTTCTCTATCATTTCATCAATGAGCTCTGATTGTGAGTAATGAGGAATGGGAAAGGCAAGGTACTGAGCAGTTCAGCTCAGGAAAGAAATGGCATCTTGTTAAGTTTTGAGAAAAGAATGGAATTCTGTAACCTGACATGCATACTGATGACACTCAGGCAGCTTCCCTAATGTTGCAAGATGTCACACAGTCAGTATCTGGGACTAGGGCAGGAAGTGTAAGGGTAGTGCCAGATAATACCTGTAGAGGGAAACACCTGGGAGCCTCCCAAGTTAATGCCATTTTAGCCCTTCCAACAAATACCCAAGTCACTTCCTCAGGAAGATTCTGATTACTTTCACAAAACAAACTAGAGAGTTTTCATAATACCTGAGCATCGTGTAAAACTAGATGTTTGAGTTTCTAGGACACTGGATAGGGCAATAAATAATTTTGTTTCATAATACTTAAAACTTATTTGATTGATGCAGAGGGCGAGGGTGTGGAGAAAGACACGCCATCCATTGGTTCACTCCCCAAATACGTGCAACAGCCAGGGCTAGGCTGGGCTTGGCTGATGTTTGAGCCAGAAATGCAGACCATGTTTCCCATGTTGGTGTCCGGAATCCAGTTTCTTGGGACATCACCTCCCAGGGTTTGCATTAGCAGGAAGCTGGAGTCAGAGTCAGGAATTGAACCCAGGTATTCTGTTGTAGAATGTGGGATGCAGCAATCTTAGCACTAAGTTAAATGTCTGTTTCCCCAAAATAATAACTTTGAATTCTGAGATGCTTAACTTACTTCACATGTTCATATTTCTATTTTGTGGTTTCATTCAAGATCCTAATTAGTATAACTCAATCATACAATTTAAAAGATTAAATGCTGATGAAAATAATTACAGCAGATACATGGCTGGCTCCTTGTTTTTTTGTTTTTCTGTTTTATCCTTTCTTCTCCCCTCTCTTTGCCCCTCCCATCCTCTTTTTTTTTTTTTTTTTTTTTTTTTTTAGCTTTCCCTTTCTTTGGTCTCATTTCGCCTTTCCTGGAAGCTGAATCCCACGCTCGACTCACCATTCATCTCATCCAGTTCAAAAAAGCAAATATCCTCAATTGTTCCTTTTATGATTTAATTATTGTGGGATCAAATGTAACTTATTACTTTGGAAAAAAAAATGAAACATTACCAAAAAGAATAAACGAGGCTTGGGGCCAGTTTCATTGGTTTTAATAGCGAGAAGGAAGGAAGGTAATGTGGGATTAGTGCTGGAAGAACCATGGCCATGTGGTTGGGTGTGGCAGGCACTCTGCTGTTTAGGTGTTGGTTAGCATCTACATTAGAAAATCATGATTTTGGGGCTGGCGCTGTGGCGCAGCTGGTTAACGGCCTGGCCTGAAGCGCTGGCATCCCATATGGCTGCCGGTTCTAGTCCTGGCTGCTCCACTTCCCATCCAGCTCTCTGCTATGGCTTGGGATAGCAGTAAAAGATGGCCCAAGTCCTCGGGCCCCTGCACCTGAGTGGCAGACCCGGAAGAAGCTCCTGGCTTTGGATCAGCACAGTTCCGGCTATTGCAGCCAACTGGGAAGTGAACCAGTGGATAGAAGACCTCTCTCTCTCTCTCTCTGCCTCTCCTCTCTCTGTGTAACTCTGACTCTCAAGTAAAAAATAAATAAATCTTAAAAAAAAAGAAAAGAAAAGAAAATCATGATTTTCTAGAAGCCTTCAGAGTTTGGGACTGGAAAAGTCTGTGTGAACGGATATTAGTCTGAAAAGGAATTTGTGATTGAAGGAAATTTTATTTGTGTTTCTTTTTTGAAAGGCTGAGCCAGGAGCTTGGAACTCAATCCAGATCTCCCACATGGGTGGCAGAAATGTAATTTCTTGGACCATCACTTCCTGCCTCCCAGAGTCTACATTAAAAGGAAGCTTGACTCAGAAGTTGAGTTGGGACTTGAACTCAGGCACTCTGGTATGGGATGTAAGGCATCCCAAGCAGCTCTTCCAAACACTTTCCCTAGTAATTTGTGATTTTTCGGAACTAGAAAAAAATTGCAGCGGTTAGCTTTTCTGTTCTAATGTACAACAACTTTGTTCATTCTGTGTCCTGGACTGACGCAAGCTGAGCATAAGTCATTTATAAATCCTCACTGGCCAGCACAGTGAGGAGCTGAAAGTAGGCCTGACAGCCAGAGTCACACTGTCATTGGTGTCCAGCTCCTCACCGTAGCAGGAGTGGGGTCTGCTTCTCACTGAAACGCACATGTTCTAGAAGACCTCTAGTATGTATTAAGCATGATGGTTAGAACATTTGCTGTAGTTGAACTATTTGCAAAATTGTCAGGTTGGCTTTGGGTGTCGCTCCCCCTCTTCACGGAGGAACGACACTGGACCCTGCCTAGGTTTCCTATCCGAGTCACGGCACCATTATGTCGCTCCCCCTCTTCGTGGAGGAACGACACAGGACCCTGCGCTGTTCTTTTGTCTGCTCCGCCCTTCCCGGGTTTGCTGCTGGTTCTTCCCGGGTTGGCTACCGACCCTTCCACCTCTGTGGAAGGGCGGTTCCCCCTGCCACTTTCCCCACTTCCGCGGGGGAGCAGCACACCACCGGCCGGCTCTCTCGGGGGCTGCTCAGATGTTCCTCAGGTGTTCCTGGTGCATGTTGTCTCTCTCCTCCTTTATAGTCCTCTTCCACCAATCCCAACCTCCAATCAGGAGCAGGTCCTGCTGCTTATTGGTTGAACTGGAGGCAGCTGCGTAGAAGCTGTTTACTCCTCTCCCAGCGCCATATTGTGGGAGAGCAGATGCATAGAATAAGTCTTAATTCCAGTAACTTAGTCTAGTCCGAGTTGCTCCCCACATTGGGGGTCCTTGTTTGTGCTGGTATAGCTGTGAAGAATAACATGGTACTGAGGCTCTTCACTCCCAGTTATTCCTGAAGTCTGTTCTTTAATTTGCAGTTCTGACTGTGTATTCCAAGGCTCACATCAAGCCTGCGTTTTCCTTACTGCCTTTGTGGCTCTACTTTTGCTTGAAATGAGCTGATCCCATCTCTGATCACTGTACATGGGTCCCCATGGCAGTCTCCTTCCCACTGCCTGCCATTTGGCTGTTTGAAGTTCTGCACCACAAGTCCCGGGGTTTGGATCATCTTGGCTGCATTTCCTTCTCTTCAGTCACTTCATTCAGGAGTTCCCCAGTTTATTAGTTTCCTAAGTCTGCTATAACAAGTTTCCCCTAACTGGGTGGCTTCAGACGATATAATTACATCCTTTCAAAGTTCTAGAGGCAAGAGGTCTAACATTGAGGCATTGACAGGGCCATCGTCCTCCTAAAGGCTCTAGGGAGAACTCTTCCTCACAGTTTCTAGAGACTCTCAATGTTCCTTGGCTTATAAATGCCTAAGTTCAGTGCTTGTCTCTGTCATCATGTGCTGTGTGTGATATTTCTCTGTCTTTCCTCCTGTAGGCCCCACCTTAATCTAGTATGACTTCATCCTAACCCAACTTAACTACATCTGCAAAGATTCTATTTCTAAGTAAGTTTGCATTCTGAGGTTCTGGGTGCACATGAGTCTGGGGGTGCAGGGAAACACTGCTTCACCCAGTATGCTCAGAGAATTTGCTGACCCTCTCTCACCAGCCAAACCCATCACCCAGGATCACCTGTTGGTGACCATACTCAGTGCAACAAAAACGGATCTTCCTGCATTCCAGACTGACTCAGGAAGACCCCAGGGGCCACCTGAATATGAAGTATTATTCCTCACCATGGAAGTGACAGAAGAGCATTTGCTGGGCACCTTACTTGTTATGAAACAGGTAATAGACTTAACTAGAACATACCTTATAATATCTGATATGTGGTTCATTATACTTTAAAGCAATAGAAAAAATAATACCCTGAAGATGTTGGCAATAAGGCATAAAATTGGTGTGGTAGTCAAAGAAGAACACATCATCCTAAAGGAAGACAGAAATAGCTTTTCAAAAATTGCCTTTGGAGAAAAGATGATGAATTACAACTTGTACTTGCTGAAATTTAGCTCTCATAGTCCATCGTGTACCTGGTACGTTTTCCAAGTTTAAGATGAAGTCTCTTGACAGAAAGATTTTTAAAAAGGCAATTCTGTCTAAATTGCAGCACGTCTGCCCACCCCCATGTACAACGCCAGCTGAAATTCTGACAAGCTGGTCAATACATGCCTAAAGTCAGAATCCAGATTTGGTGCTGTTATATAGCTGAGTTGTATTGGGGAGGAAGCAAGGCCACAGCACTTATTATCCTCTGTTAGTGAAACCAGATTTACAGCTCAAACAGCAGTCATGGTAACTAAAGCACAGACTAGGAACTTTGATAGATGAAAATCATTTCCATTTAAATGAAACCTAAGAGGTTGCCAGGTGTAAGTGTTAAAATAGCCTTACAGCCGGCGCCGCGGCTCACTAGGTTGATCCTTCGCCTTGCGGCGCCAGCACACCGGGTTCTGGTCCTGGTCGGGCGCCGGATTCTGTCCCGGTTGCCCCTCTTCCAGGCCAGCTCTCTGCTGTGGCCAGGGAGTGCAGAGGAGGATGGCCCAAGTGCTTGGGCCCTGCACCCCATGGGAGACCAGGATAAATACCTGGCTCCTGCCATCGGATCAGCGCGGTACGCCAGCTGCGGCGGCCATTGGAGGGTGAACCAACGGCAAAGGGAGACCTTTCTCTCTGTCTCTCTCTCTCACTGTCCACTCTGCCTGTCAAAAAAATAAATGAATAAATAAAATAGCCTTACAACGATCACTTTGTTAAATGTTTTCATCTGAAAAGAGGCAAGCCAGCCTAGAAACCACCTGGAAAAGTCTAATTCTCCCAGGTCTCCTTTTCTCATGATGGTTTGAGGACTTGGGATGTAGCGAGAACAGAACCCAACCCTCTAAGGTACAAAGAGGTACAAGATGTTGATATTGCTAAACAGGCGGAAAGCATGGAACATATGAGGCCATTTTTAAATTGCTCAAGCTCTTGGGTTATTTGAGCTTGTCTAGCAAGCTTGTCAATCCCTTAGACAATGCTTGTCAGGAAGCACCGTGGGAGATTAGCTGAGAGCATGGCTTTGAGAACCAGGCAGAACAGCTGAGTCCTTCCTGTGTTTCTATGAGTAAAGCAATTAATGCCCTGCATTTCATCATACCTCAAATCAGGGCTTATAATAGTAATAATAGTATCGACTACATATAGTTCATTTTCAAAAAGATTTATTTTGTTTACTTGAAAGAGTTACAGAGAGAGAAGGGAGAGGAGAGAGAGAGCACTTCCATCTGCTGGTTCACTCCCCAATGGCTGCAATGGCTGGGGCTGGGCCAGGCTAATGCCAGGAGCCAGGAGCTTCAGACAAGTCTCCCATGTGGATACAGGTGCCCAAGCATTTAGGCCATCTTCCTTTGCTTTCTCAGGCGCATTAGCAGGGAGCTGGATCAGAAGTGGAACAGCCAGGACTCAAACCAGTGTCATTAAGGGATGCCAGTATCATAGGCAACAGTTTAACCCGGTTACACCAGCCGGCATATAGTTCTTATAATGCTTAATTAAGATAACCTAAGCAAAATGAATGGCAACTCAAGAGGCTTCCATAGCCTTGGCAGCTCATGACAAGAGCCTCAGGTGATTACTGACGTCATAAATAAGAGTGTCAATTGTTAAATCAACAGCGGGAGTCACTGTACACCTACTCTCCTTGTAGGATCTCTGTCCTTAATGTACTATGCAAATTAACAGTAAAACTACTACTCAAACAGTACTTTATACTTTGTGTATCAGTGTGGGTACAAACTGTTGAAATCTTTATTTAGTATATACTATCTTCTGTATATAAAGATAATTGAAAATGAATCTTGATGAAGAATGGTATGGGAGAGGGAGTGGGAGATGGGATGGTTGCAGGTGGGAGGGAGGTTATGGGGGGAAAAGCCGCTATAATCCAAAAGTTGTACTTTGGAAATTTATATGTATTAAATAAAAGTTGAAAAAAAAACCAAAATGAATGGCAAATAATATGTTCAATGATTATATGCAACTACCAGAAACTTTTTCTGTTGTGTTTTATCTTGCCTTTGGAAAATACAGAGATTTTTTTTTTCTAACGACTTAGTTAACTCAAACACAATTTTAAAAATCTATCTTTTTAGTAGAATTTTCGCCGTATGATGTTTAGGGACAACACACAGAGGATTGTGTCCCTGGCTTTGAAGTCTCCTCAACTATTGTGTCATGGGAAGGGTGATGAATTCAGAGCCAGTAGGTCTGGATTAGAGTTTGGTCATTGCCACAAACAAATCAGCTCAGCCTCTCTCGGCCTGATTCCTCATCTGTGAATGGAACGTCTCCAGCACCAGAATTTTAGGTCTGTGACTTAACTTGACAGTTGAGCCTATAAAGAACATGTGAGAGGTCATGGAAATAAAATAAAGACAGATGTTCAGCAGCGTTAGGGTGGAGGCCAACGATGAAGTTTAAGAGACAAGGGCAGAGTTAGAGGAAGGGAACCAAGTCATAAAGGAAAGAGATGAGAAAGACAAATGAGGAAAAGAAAGGGAGGAGGAAGGTGAATGGGAAGACAGAGGGTGGAGTGAGGGTCCTTGCTTTGCTTGGCTATGTGACTGTTGACAGCGGGATCCTTGTGACCCGGGAGAGAGCTCAAGGCTAGAGCTAACAGTACCAAATTTCTCCTATGCCATTAGTGTGGGAATAAGACTGGAAATGGGACTGTTTGAAATGTTCTTTGAAAAGGGAATAGAAAACAACAATGAAGAAATTATTGCAGAAGTAATGCAAGAAAATTCCTCCAAAGTAAAAGACGTGGGAATTCAGATGATAGGGCCCTTCAAGTACACAGCAGCACAATAAAATTAAAAGACAACAAAGTTCACAATATCCTGAAATTTTAGGACATTCATTTCCAGAAAGAAAAAAAAATAGGTCCCAGACTATAGGTTAAGAATCAAAATAGCATCAGTCTTCTTAGGGATGATATTAAAAGCGGGAAGAGGAGAACGCCTTGTCTTGTGCAAGAAAATCATTTCTGACCCATATTTCTATTCCCAGTTAAACTGTCAGTTAAGGATGAAGGATGTTTAAATGTAGTCAGTCTCTAAACTTTTATACCCAATTTCTTAAGAAGCAAGAAGTAATGTGCTGTATCTAAACTAAGAAAAAAACAAGAAGAGAAATTCAGGAAGCAGAAGCGCTATCACAAGACAGAAGCAAAGGGAATTACCAGGCTGTTGGCAAAGGTAAAGCCTTAAGAGTCCATAGAAATAGTCACAACAGCAACAATGGCACAAAGACAAAGGAGTGTAGGGAACTTGTGGGAAGAAGAAATTTAAACTGCTTTTACCTGATATATTTGATCAACTTGAGAGGATACATTATGCAGGTGGAAATTTGGAAGAGGTATTAATGAGATGTAAATAAATAGAAAACATCATATAGGAGCAGGCATAGCAGTTAAAACCCCACTTGGGACACCCACATCCCTTGCAGAGTGCCTGTGTTTGAGTTCCAGCTCTGTTTCTGTTTCCAGCTTCCTCCTATTATGCACCTTATGAGGCATCAGATCATGGTTCCAGTACCTGGATCCCTGCCATCCATGTGGGATACCTGGATTAAGGTCTGATTCCTGGCTTCAGTCTGGTCCAGCCCCGGCTGTTGAAAACATCTGAGGAGTGAAGCAGTGGATGGAAGATCTATGTTTCACTGTATCTCTGTCTTTCAAATAAGTAAAATAAATACATACCAAATATAAACACATACATGGCAATACATACATACCAAACGTGCCAATCAAAAATAACATGGGAAAAAGTCGTGCGAGAAAGTGATGTAATCACAGTAGATAACATAGCCCTGCTCTGAACATGGTTATTACTATAACGTCAGCACTGAATTCTTCAATCACAAGTTGTGATACAATCTATTTGGGGAAGGTAGAGGAGGGAATAGTGTGTGTGTTGATGGTGAGGTAGGAAATAAATTCCTTCTTCCAACTTAGGAATTCAATATACAATATCTGAATGTGGGAAAACACCAAGCAATAGATGTAAGTATATGGCAAAAATGGAGAAAAGAGGCAAAAAATAAACAAATAATTGAAAGCAGTTGCCGGTGAAGAGCAGGAATTTGGCAGGAAACTCTTCTTTTGTTGTTGTTGTGTTGGGGCCTTGTAGTAATATTTGAGGTTTAAATTGTACACACTCATACTATGAAAAAAATACAAAAATCAAATGTAAAGTATGTTTGGAATGTAGAGAAAAACATCTCACAATGATGTGTGCTGGAAACTCATGGATATGATACAGACACATGAATACAAAAAATGATGCAAACACTCAGAAAATCCCTAATACATAAGTAATCTGTCTTCACACATGAGCAAGTTGATGCCATTGTTAAATAACATAGCCAGGGATCAAACCTGGTCTTTCTGATCCCCTGTTTCAGGCTTCTTCACATTACCTCCTCACTTCTTGGTATCTTTTAGCTTATATTTGTCCAATAAGAGGTCTTCAAGTTAATGGGAAATGGCATTCTCAGAAAATGATGCATGGATTTTAATTTTTTTGCACAAAAAGTAAGTTTATCTTTCAATACCATTTTCCATAAACTTTTTTAAATACCCCCATATTGTTATAAATAGTATGATCCACACAAATCTGAATACACAAAGTAACATCCTTTGTTAGGCATGTCTGAACTAAATGAACAGAATCTAACGTTATCTTAGGTCTCCATTGCACCCTTGGTTTGTTGGCAGCACCCTAAGGAACAGAGCTGAACAATCAGGTGAATAGTAGGTAAGCTTTGGAAGCCAGTGCTTTTTCTAATGGATAAATGCTTCTCATTAGATTATCCCAAGACGCAAGGAACTGATCTGATCACTTAACAAATGTTCTCAATTTGATTCAGTGCACCTGGGAAATAAGACTTCTATTTGCTGCCAAGACGTGATTACATTAAACCTTAATGATGTTCCTGTCGTGGGGGTTAGACAAGAATATTTTAATTGAGTGTCAAGCACACCATGGGAGCACTCTTCTAGACTGACTTCTTCAGAAAGCTAGAAATGTTGGTGAACTTGCTGTTCCCTACTATTAGGTTTATATAGCCACTGATTAATACCAACTCTCTTTTATAAGCATAAGGCATCATCAGACTTTTCCTTGGTAACCAGATTTTTTTGTGTGTGTGTCCTTTGGCACTAGTTCCTGGAAGTGTCATAATTCTGCAATTTGCAAAATTCAATGGCAGCTCCAGTTAAATAAATAGAATCTAATTATGTCAAAATGGGACACTGCCTGAAGTAGGATGATTGGTTTTCACTGTACATAACATGTGAGCACCTGCAAAAATCATAAAAGTCAAAATATTTCACAGAGACCATTGAATTGGTAGGGAGAATTTAGATTAAGTTACTGTATTTCAGTTTGATCTTTCTAATGTAGGTCCTAGAGTTTTAGAATTATGAACACTTGGAATTTTATGCAAAATGATACATGAATGTGCATTTTGAAAAAAAAAATGTAATCCTTAAGTTTCATGAAGTTTTTAAAGAAGTTCATAGCCACCAAAGCGTGAAGAAATATTGTTCTACATGAAGAAATAACGTCCGGGTAGAATGTTTTAATTAGATTATTTTTATTTCAAATGTAAGATTTTTATAGCAGGTGCTAGCAAATTTCTGAGGGATAGAAAGCGTCACATATGCCCTATAGTATTGTTATTCTGTTCCTTTTCTATTACTGTAACTAGGAATATCAAACTTTAAGAAAAATTTCATATTTTCTCCCACTCTGCCCCAAATTTCTTTTTCCTAGCTTTTGAGGATTCATACATGATTATCAATTTGATTTTTAATTTTTATTGATTTGAGAGGCAGAGAGAGCGAGCAAGAGCAAGCATTCCCACTGATTCCATCATTCCCCAAGCTCTCTCAATGGCTGGGGCTAAACTGGAGCTGAATCCAGGGCCCAGGAATACAGTCCAGACCGCCCAGGTGGGTTGCAGCAACCCATTTATTTGAGACGTCACTGGTACCTCCCAGGGTCTGCATTAGCAGGAAGCTGAGTCAGGAGCCAGAGCCAAAAATCGAAGCCAGGTACTGATGTGGGACATGGCAGTTTTCACCACTAGGCTGAATGGCCTACTCTTAGGCCATACTTTTTATCATGTCATCCCAATTGAACGTCCCACTTCTCTCTTTCAGGATTATGTACTAAACACACTAAATGGAAAAGTAAAAAACCTCAAGCATGTCTATTACTCAGTGATCCCATGAATAAACCCTGCTGATCGTTCTCATGTTTCTTTCATTGATCAGGAACAGATGCTGTGCCGTCTGCTAGAGATCTTAAGACATATTTTATGAAGCAATTATAGAGAAAGTAAAGGGTCAACTCAGTGAGAGCTGTGTGGTCTACCTCTTTGAAATCCAAGAAATTTCATCATTAAATTTAATCTCTAGCTACCTGGACACATCCCATAAAATTTCTAAGGAAGAGATTTAATTGATTACTCCTGTTAATTGACATTTTTCTTAAATATTTGAAAGATCAACCATACTATAAAGATAACCATAATATAAGATAAATTTTATATTAATAAGGGACATAAAACAAATGCTCAGAGTCTTAATAATCTACTGAAAATATTCTATGGAGTTTAAAGAGCAATAATGTGTAGGGTCAAGTTGAGTTTTCAGGATTAATAATAGCAGATTAGTCACTGTGGAACCACTTTCTTGCACTCACAGCTAGAAACTAAATTTGACAATGCATCTAGGCTTATTAGATTAGTTTCTAGAGATTAACTCAGTTTCACCAAATTAATGAAACACAAGATATAAGTCTGACAGAAATACAAGTATTTCTAGAGAGCAGGGTATACATGCGTACTAATGTCTGTTAAACCTCCATGTTCCACTCTAAACAATCCCTGGAATCTAGATATCTGAGCAAAAAAAAGAAAAAGAAAAAACAATTAGCAGTTGATAATTGAGCATAGAATTGTAGCAGAGAAAGCTGGCTATAAGAAAATTCCTGATGAGTGACCCTGCATCC